AAGCTTGCAAGTATGGCTTAGATAGCATGCAAAACAAGGCAAGAAAAGAGGAAAATAAGACTTACCCTTGAAGACCAATGAACCAGCAGCTCTTGGACCAAATTTTTGAGCCTTTAACCTCTCCAAAACAGTCCCAAAGTGCTGGAATGAAGGATGGAGGCCTTGTGCTATGAGATGTAGGGTAAATGGTGCAGGGCTTAAGGGGTTTTGATGCTTGGGGTAGAGAGAGAGAGAGAGAGAGATTGAATGCAAGAGCTCAAAACCAATTTTTGTAACCCTCAAACAAGGAGCTGAGGGGCTGGTTTTATAGAGGAGATGAGAGGAGAAAATGGGAAAAAATGAAATTCCAATTTCCCCCCCAAAAGACCCCCCCTCAGATACAGGATCTGGGGGGAAACAGAGGGTACAGCTGTAAGGAACCAGGTGAGAGGGTCATGGCCGGCCAGGTTCAGAAGGTTCAGGGGGCCGGCCGGCCACTTTCCATGGCCAACCGACCAAGGGTCAAAAGGGTCAATGACAATTGCTGGTCGGCCACCCCAAAAAGGTGGCCTCCCATGTGTGCACAACACAACTATGTGGTCAAAACCTAGAAAATGTGAACCAAGAGAAAGAAAAATCCATTTTTTAGAGGGGTTCAAAAGGGTCAAGGACAATTACTGGCCGGCCTATACATATTGGTGGCCTCCCAGGTGTGTACAACACAAATATGGGGTTTAAGGCTAAAGAAAGTGGCCCGAGAGTGGTCAACATTAGCTTTCTAGTGAGGAAAACGGGCGACGGAGAGTGATGAAGAAATAAAACTGGCTTTTCAGAAAAATTGCTGGCCTCCCACTCTCCTACAAGCTTTCTAACAATGAAAATAAGGTCTCCACCAAAAATGAACCAAAACGGATGCAAAACGAAGGTTCGGGGACCGAAACGCGCGGCCTGAGGCTCGAAAATGGGCTGTTAAGCACCGGAGGTGGCATTTGACCACAAAGTTGGTCTCTCGGGCCACAGTGTTCCTCAAAAGGGAGGAAATAATATGTGTGCCGAAAACCGGAGCAAACGGAGGTGGTTAAGCGGTCTCGAACTGAGGCACACGGCTGACGGCTCAGAAAATCGAGAACTGGGCTCCAAACGGGAAAAATGGCCTACGGCCACGAAACGTAGCCTACGGCCACTGAGAGATGGTCTACGAGACCTCTCCCTCCCTTTGGGAAGAGAAAATGGAGAAAACGGGACCTGGTTTGCAAACCGAGGCAAAGCACGAAAGAACCCGGTAGGGATGGCAATTTGAACCCGGCCCGACGGGGACCCGACCCCCCGTTCCCGATAAAAGTGGTTTTTCCCCGAAAAATACTTCCGACGGGCCGGGGATGGTATTAAAAAATAAATCCCCGGTGACATTCATATATATATTATATATATGTTACACTCTCTGATCTCACACTCTCTTTTATCTTAATATATTATATTATATTTATATATTATATTATATATATTTCAACCTCTGTTGATTAACTCAGCAGCAGCTCTATCTCACTCACACTCTCTTCTCTTCTCTCACTCTCTCTCTTCTCTTCTCTTCTCTTCACACAGACACAGACGCAGGAGCCTCCTCCAAGCCACCACCACCTCCTTCTCCTTCTCCTCCTCCTCCAGGCCACTGCAGCCTCCTCCTCCGTCGCCACAACAGATCTGATGGAGTGTAGCACATCGTCGATCTCCACCGCTGATCTCCACCGCCGCCCTCCTCCGTCGATATCCTCCTCCGCCGCCCTCATCAGCTCAGATTTATAAGATCTGTTATTCTTTTTTTTATTTGTTATTGATTTTTTGATCTGATAATCTGTAATTTTTTTTTTATCTGTTGATCTGTAATTTTTTTTTTTTTTTGATCTGTTATTTTTTTTGTTGATCTATGTTGATGATGTTGAGTGTTGAAACAGAGTTGATGGTGTTGAATGTTGAAACAGATCTGTTTTTTTGATGATCTGGTATTCTTTTTTTTTTTTTTTATGGTGTTGAATGTTGAAACAGAGTTGGATCGGGGACTTTTCGGGGTCGGGGAAACCCGATCCCCGTTGGGGATGGGGATGGGGACTGTGATAGGTTCCCCGTCGGGGATCGGGGCCGGGGACGGGGAAGTTTTGGCCATCGGGGACGGGGAGGGTGGTCCCCGCCCCGCCCCGTTGCCATTCCTAGAGCCCGAAAGTCCGGAGGCAAGGCTCGCAGCCAAGACTCTGAAACTTCTGAATGAGCACAACATGTAACATCACCGAGCGCTCAATCAGTGACGTCTAAGTCTTAAGGTCGGTCAAAAATGGGGTGTCTACAGTTAGTCTTCCAGCAAAAGACAGCAACTTTCTTTTCCACCCAGCCAGCCTACATCTAATTTTATCCAAGATGGGCTTTCATGTAGATTTCTTCTTTGGATTAGCCCCTAGAGGTAACCCAAGGTAGGTGATTGGTAGTGCCTCACTTTGCAGTTCAAGATTGAGACATAAGCAGCCATGTTTCCATCTTTTAGGCAATAACACAGTTGGGATGCATCTTTTAGGCAATGATATTGTAAATTTCCTCTTGGTCTTTGAATTTGTTCCCTCCTGTACTCTTTACTTTATTTTATCTTTAATAAAAATCTTTCTTTGATCCCAAAAAAAAAAAAAAAAAATTAATTAATTTCAATTAAGTTGATTTTAATTCTAAATTTTTTTACTTTGTTTTAATTTGGTCTAATAAAAAATGTTAGCATTATTTTATGAAAAATGCGCAAATGAGCGCCATGTGTCATGCTTTTAAAAGTAAAATTATAAATTTGATCAGCTCAGTAAATTAACCACAACCAATTTAGTGATAATTTTTCGTAAAAAATAAAATTAAAAATAAATAAATAAATAACTAATGGTATTGTCAATTAAAATAAATTGACACAAAATCTTAAATTAAGAGTTAAAATCGAGTCAATTGAAAATGTAGGAATCAAAATAATACAAGGAGCAAGATATAAGGATTATCAGTGTAATTTATCCTAAATAAATTGTGAAAATTGGTAATAAATCTCTTTTGATGGACTTGTTTTTCAATTAGTCCTCAGAATGTTCTTTTGTTATGTGTAGTCCTCATATTGAAAGATTTGACTTAGCATATCCCAAATCCCATATTATTCCATTTTTGTGAACATTAATACTCCTTATAATTATGGTATGACTTATGTTTGGAAAAATTATCGGAAGTCCCTTTTTGGGAACTCGTTTAGTCATTATCTTATGGAAATACTTGTGATTCGATAAGTTTTATATATTTGAACTTGCATTTTGAAAGATTTTTTTTATTTTTAAATTTGATGGTTAAGGGTTACTAAAAAATTGGCATAGCCAAACTTTGTATCAAATTGTTTTAAGCGAAAGAATTTATTTTTTCTGTGACATCAACCATGACAAATTTTTCATGTCCATTTGTTATATCCAGTGGAATGAATTTTTGCTTGTATGAGACAATATCTATAATTTACTCTGTGTTTGTTGTCTCCTTAATTTGGAGATGGTTTTTTTTTATTTTTTTATGGGCAAAGTAGAGATTTATCGATGTAAAATAAAAGTACAATATGTACAAACAAATTACATCAACAAAACACCAAAAGCCAAGACAAAAAGTATCATAGTTTAAAACCATATCTCAATTAGGTTGAAACATGAAGCAAAGCCAATCAAATACAAAGTCAATGCCTAAAAGAAAAAATAAAAGTACACATTAGGGAAAGCAAAGCAAAATAAGACAAACTAAACAGTCCCTAAACTAGAAGAAAAAATAAAAGTACACACTAGGAAAAGCAAAGCAAAATAAGACAAACCAAACACTCCCTAAACAAAAAGATGGTAGACAAGACTACTCTTGAAAGTCAAGACCATGATTGGAGTGGGTTCCATTCTTTGAAAATATGCACACTTCTTGAGAAATCCGATTCCGAATCTAAAGGTTGAGATTCTTGATCAAAATGAAAACTTTTGTTGTTCAATAGTAGCATTGAAGTGGAACATGAACAATGAGGTAATCCCTCCAAATCAGAGACTAATCCACAAAGACATTAAAATTTGTACCACTCCTTATTGCCCTTGCCCTTGGAGATGGTTTTAGGGCTTGTTTATTTGGGGAAGGCATTGGGTCTAAATTACTCTCACATGTCTCTTCTCCTAGTTCATTATTTGGTTGAGAAAGTGTTAATCTTGGGGCTACCTTATTTGATTTTGATAAATAAACCCAAACTATTTCATTTTTAATTTATCTTACTCTTTTACTTTCTTTCTTCTTTCTTTTTTATTTTTTATTTTTTTTAAGCTATTGAGGAACTTCTATAAGACAGAGCAACATTGGACTCACCTTACAAAATAAACTCCAGTTACACATAATAATCCACCAATCATGTGTATCTAAGTACAAGCACATCACCAGAAAAGAAAAAAAAAAAAAAAAATAAAAAAATAGATTGCACAAAGCATTCAAGTTTACAATTAATTCCGAAAATCCTTGACAACTAAGCTATCCATGTGAGTTAGAGATAAGAGTTTAGAAACATACTGATAGTCCAACTCCACTAGAGTTCAGAGTTCTTGAAAAGGGTGAAAGCTCTTGAACTTTAAAAATCAAATCTAGGTCTTTATAGCAATAATGAAGATGATGAACAAGATCATGGAAGGGGATGTTTTTCTGCTATTTCTGCTCTTTGAATTGTGAAAGATTCAAGTATCTAGGAATGATTTTTAACAAACTGTTGAATTAACATTGGATCCATCTCCTCAGCTCAATTTATTTATTTATTTTTTCTTTTTTTCTTTTTCCTTTTTGTTATGGCTTGTGATATTTGGCACTAGAGGGCTGTGAATCTTGTGATATTATCTCTACTTTAAATGGTTTTCTATGTAGTCTGTAACAACTTGCTGTAAGAAGCTTGATTTGTATAGTCGTTTCTGACTGAAGCAAACTTGAGGAACCTATTCAATCATGCTATGCAGATGGAATTAAGGGGCATAGTCATCAAACCCTAGTGAACTGAGAGCCCAACAAATGTCATCTCCATTCACTGTTTTGCGGTTCTCCTTGTGACACTTGTCAGATGCTTCCCCAGTGACAAAACTTATAAACTCTGAAGCACATTCTTGCATTGTCTCTTTGGCTTCTTTCGAAATCTTGGCACTTGGTGGAAGGATCTGCTTCATGATCCGACCAACGTTGGCAATTGGCAACAATCTATCTTGTTCATCAACCATATCCAGATATTGATTGGATTGATCTTCTCAAACGCAGACACGTTACTCTTTAACTGACAAATTAGGCTTCTATATAAAAGAAACGACACAAGATCTTCTGTAAGTCCTCACTTTTTTTTGTCACGTGTCACAAACAATCTCCCCATCTACGATGGTCTCAACTTCCAATTAAAAAGTGATTTATTTTAAAATATCGTAAGGTACGAAGAGCAGGAATTTCCCCAACTCTTCTTGTTAAGAGTGCAATAAGTTCATCTGTGTGTGTATGTGAGAGAGAGATTGCTTGGGTGTTTGATGGAGTTGCCATTAGTAACTCCATGCCAGAAAAGATAAAAAAAGAAGATATTGGAGAAGTGGTCCCGAATGAGCTAGAAACCCTAGTTTACTTTTGAAAAACCCTAACTCTAATAGAACATCCAACAAGCACAATATTTCATGGCAGTTCTTTATCATGGGAAGATTGCCCAGTATCTTTTTCATAGTAAAATATAATCATGCCCTAAAATTTAATTATGATTTATACAGCAAAGAGATAATGGTCCTGGATTCTAGGGTTAAAAAGCCCTAACCCCAGTACGTGAGAAATCTTTGATCTACTTTGACTATTTTAAGAGAGCACATAGTAAATTTTCACTTTGCTGATAATAATAAAATAAAATAAACCAGAGATCACATAGTCATAGATATGGGTTAACACAAGAACTTCTGTAAACCTTGCCATAATGGTTTATATAAATTTTATGAGTAACAGAAAATAACTAGAAAAATAAAATTAGTTTTGTTGGAGATCTGATGCACCTGAAAGTATATCAAAAATAAATTGTGTTAAAAATAATCACCGAAAAAATTAGCTATTGAAAAACCATGCTTTGAACTGTTGAAATTTAATTGATAATTACTGATCCTAGTTTCATGCATTAGAGAAAAATTAGGTACTTGAATTGAATGTGCTTTTGGACCTATGCTACTTGAACAGGATCACTCATGAGGGAGAGAGAGAGAGAGAGAGAACAGAATATGTATAACACTTAGGAAATATTGCACTGGAACAGAACAGTTTATACATGTTGTAGATTTGGGTTTGATGCAAAAGAATTAGAGCAGAACAGAATGTGTATCACCACACCCATCCGTCTTTGTCTATGTTGATTATATATTCATATATTTATCAATATAGCTCCTTTCTTTTGCCGATCAAATAAAAGAGAATTAGTGAAATTCTCTTGTATTTAGCCAGCTCAATTTCCAAATTTTTTTTTTTTTTTTTTTTTTTGATCAACAAAACGAAACAAAAAATTTTATTGATGAAATTCAATGTACATAAAGCATTGAGGCAACATAAAAAAGAAAAGGTGAGTACATAAAGTATCATAGTAAAACTTCCGACCCCAACTAAGTTAGCACAAAAAAGGAAGCCTAATCATGTATTAGCACCACACCAAGGGTTGGAGAAGTGAGAAAGGTTCTGATTGAACAATGGAAAACAATAGGTTGCTCAAGTTTGTTTCACAGTCAGAAACGACTATACAAATCAAGCTTCTTACAGCAAGTTGTTACGGACTACATAGAAAACCATTTAAAGTAGAGATATAATATCACAAGATTCACAGCCCTCTAGTGCCAAATATCACAAGCCATAACAAAAAGGAAAAAGAAAAAAAGAAAAAATAAATAAATAAATTGAGCTGAGGAGATGGATCCAATGTTAATTCAACAGTTTGTTAAAAATCATTCCTAGACTACATAGAAAACCATTTAAAGTAGAGATAATATCACAAGATTCACAGCCCTCTGGTGCCAAATATCACAAGCCATAACAAAAAGGAAAAAGAAAAAAAGAAAAAATAAATAAATAAATTGAGCTGAGGAGATGGATCCAATGTTAATTCAACAGTTTGTTAAAAATCATTCCTAGATACTTGAATCTTTCACAATTCAAAGAGCAGAAATAGCAGAAAAACATCCCCTTCCATGATCTTGTTCATCATCTTCATTATTGCTACAAAGACCTAGATTGGATTTTTAAAGTTCAAGAGCTTTCACCCTTTTCAAGAACTCTGAACTCTAGTGGAGTTGGACTATCAGTATGTTTGCTAAGTTGGATATTACCTTTATAGTTTGATGCCTCATCTTTGTCTTCAGTACTGCTGCTGGCTTTGTTTTGGTTGGCTTTCTCTCTTTCAAACTCCCTATATTTATGCAGGTACCTGACTATTGCCTCAGCATAGTCATCAAACCCTAGTGAACTGAGAGCCCAACAAATGTCATCTCCATTCACCGTTTTGCGGTTCTCCTTGTGACACTTGTCAGATGCTTCCCCAGTGACAAAACTTATGAACTCTGATGCACATTCTTGCATTGTCTCTTTGGCTTCTTTCGAAATCTTGGCACTTGGTGGAAGGATCTGCTTCATGATCCGACCAACGTTGGCAATTGGCAACAATCTATCTTGTTCATCAACCATATCCAGATATTGATTGGATTGATCTTCTCAAACGCAGACACGTTACTCTTTAACTGACAAATTAGGCTTCTATATAAAAGAAACGACACAAGATCTTCTGTAAGTCCTCACTTTTTTTTGTCACGTGTCACAAACAATCTCCCCATCTACGATGGTCTCAACTTCCAATTAAAAAGTGATTTATTTTAAAATATCGTAAGGTACGAAGAGAATTTGTGACAAGAGAGGAAAAATGAGAAAAGAGGATCTCAACTCAGATGAAACCGTATGAATGTAATGTTTTCTGCAGGTGTTCTGCTGATTATTTCAGAACACCTTTTGCTAGTAGTGGTTGTAATGTTTTCCTGCTTGTGGTTGGTTTCTCTCCAACTTCCGGCTCCTCTTTCCCCTCCTTTATTGATGTAATTCTTTCTGTTTCATCAATAAAGCTCTTTCTTTGCTGATCAAAAAAAAAAAAACTCAGATGAAACCGTATGAATGTGCGTGCGTATGTGTATGTGTATAGTGTCGGCCAAGGTACCCCTTCCCAGTCTCAAAAATACTCACATGCATCGAATCATATCAAAAACTTGAAATATCATGAGAATCTCGAGACATAAGATTGTGAGTGCTCTAAAACAGGAGATCAGAAAATTTTCGGAGAAAGAATTCATGCCCATAGTGTCAATACAATATGTCATAATGCCCATGTGAGCTTTTATTCATCAATAAAAAATTTCTTTGCTTATCAAAAATAATGCCTATGTGGGCAGCAGCTAATTGGATTCATATCCTCTTCATTCTACTTATGTAATGGATAGGATCCAAATCCAATAAACTCTCACAAATAAAAATGAACAAGTGGAAACCTAGTTGGGATATAATTGAGTTACCCCTTTAGTACCAACCTAGTTGGGATTGTTGTGGTTAGCTATGATGCTCGATGCACTTCCTCCCCTTTACTGATGTATGCTCTTCGCTTAGAGCTTCTTTATCGATAAAGTTTTTCTTTTTCGTTGATCAAAAAAAATGAACAAGTGGAAGAAAGAGAAAAAGATTGAGGGAATAAACATTTTCAGTATATAAAACAAAACAAAAGGAATACATTTTCTTTCAAAATCTACTCTCACAAAAAGAAATGAACGAGTAGGATAAAAAGAATTTTTTTTTTTTTTAAAAAGGTGAAAAAATACTAAATAAACGAATTATGTCAACATATGAGCAACACCGAAAACATACGCATTTTTTTGTGAGGTCATACGATTAGGCCGAATCAAATCATATGAATCACTCGACCTCAATATAGGTAAGGTCTCAGTGTGACTTTGACTGAGCTAACAAATCAAAATCGAAGTCAGTGTTTTAACAAAGCATTTCTAATTTTAGCAGTGGATTATGACCGAATCCACTGATTTGCAAAGCTCATCAGCCGGTTTTCAGGTAAGAAGTGGCTTTTGAAAAAAATTAAATCCTTATAAGAGGCTTTAGTGGATATAGTTCATTCATAGCAGTACAAATGGTCCCCCCCCTCCGTCCCCAAACCCATCCTCTTCCCAACTATCTTTAACTTTTAATGTTCCCAACATGTCTAGATTTAATTAATTTAGTATATGATCTTCCAGTTTAAATGAATGGACCAGATTTGTGCACTTCTGCATGTTTTGGGCATGTTTTGGGATGGATCAAAACGAAATAACAACTGGAAAATAATTTATTAGAAACCCTAGTGCTAGATTACCTCATATACTTAGGTTTACTAAGGGTTTTGTCACTCTATTTGGCGGCAAAGAACTACCTTTTTGAATTTAAATCAGTTAGGTATCAATCATATCCCACAACTATAAAATTTTAGGTCAGATGCTATCAGCACCTCCATATATATATATATATATATATACTCTTCAAACCTTTAAAAAAGTCATAGACTCGCTTGTCATTTTGGAGAAGTTATTCTCATTTTTCAACAGTAAGTGAAATTACAAATTTATGTGATTATATAATAAAAACTTCACATAAATATATAATCTAGATGATTACATGGCTGTGGACAGAATTGAGTATCTCTTTTTTTTTTTTTTTTTGATCGGCAAAGAAAATCTTTATTGATGAAAGCATGTAAAAGAGATACAGAACATCAATAAAGAGGAACTTAGAGCTAATTGAAGCTCCAACCTCCAGTTGGTGAGAAACTAACAAAACAAAACAAGAAGAAAAACATAACAGAATACAGGCCATGACTGGAAGCCCAGGCTTCACCCTGGTTAGCACACATTTCTGCACCAAAACTGAACAAAACTGACCAAACCCAATCCAAACCAGCACCTAATCAAAACAACTTCAGTCCAGGGGCAAGCTAACACAAGCACCAAACAACCCTGCAGCCTAGCAGCCTAGCAGCTAAACTCCTAACAGCCAGCAGAAACCAGCCAGAATTGGTCATTCAATCTACACCGTAAGCATGGTGACCTGGAGCAATCTGATCAGAAAGAGAAACACCAGTTGGGCTTGAAGCTCCATGCCACTGTACCAGTACTGAGAAACTCTACCAAAACCCCACACAAGCTCAAAGAACAAGCCAGAATTGCAGTCCTTCACCCAGCTAGACACCACAAACTAGATTGCAGACCCAGCTAAAATACTGCTAGCACTAACATTACATCTCCCTCCAACTAACCACATAGCAGACCACAGATATGCATAACACTCCAGAGCAGACCCCAGCATGCCATATTTGCAGCAAACTCAACACTGAAGCTATCAGAACAAAACAGCAACCTGCAGATTAATTCGGACTGAGCTAACAGAGATACAGCACCTAAGCTGAAGAACTACCAACCTGCAGCCTAATGTCATGGCAGTACTATGGAACTTAAGTATAGCACACACTACCAGTTGGAATTTGAACTCAGAATCTGCAGAAATCACCACTGCTGGAGCATTCGAAGCTGAGTGTAAACACTAACAGAGCAGAGACAATTTGAGGCACAAACAGACCAGGCAGTAGCAGCAGAGTGTAACAGCTGAAAAGCCTATTATTCAGGTGAAGCTCCTGATGTTCCTCCAGTTGCAGACAAAATCCAAGACTAAAAGGGGGAAATCTTTGATAGAGGCCTTTAGCCAATAAGCCAACCTGACTTTGATTAGGTCCCACAGTTCCACTGGATTAGGGTGAGCATTTGAAAATACACACTCGTTTCTATGCTTCCAAAGAGACCAAAGAACAACCAATGGGATGGACCTCCAAACTTTGGAAGTAAAGCCCCTAAACTTCCTACTCATCCACCAGTTAAGTAATTCGGCTACAGAGTATGGGATGCACCAAAGGATTCCCTAGTCAGATAGCACAGCAGACCAAATGGACCAAGAGAAAGGACAATGAAGCAAACCATGACTGGCAGATTCAACAGCAGAATTACAAAGAGTGCAGGAGGTTGATATATTGGAACCAAGGATGCCACAGTTGTGAAGAAAATATGCGGTTTTAACTCTATTTCTCCAGGCAAGCCAACCAAAGAAATGGACTTTAGGGGGTAATAAGTTGCACCAAATAAATTTGGTAATGGGAAGATCAGGCCCCAAGAGAGAGGTGCTATGGGAATAAAGAGAAGCTGCAGAGAAGAGACCAGAAGTAGAAGAGGACCAGACCAAACTATCCATACACCCAGTGCTTGGTGAAGGAGCAGAGGCCAACACACTAAGCAGTCTAGATTCATCCGGTAATTCCCAGGCATACAAGGCTCTTCTGAAGTTGAAATTCCAATCAGTATCGCTTGTTTTCCTTGCAAGATATTGGTAAAGAGAGCCTTCCTTGTCAACAGAAAGGTTAAAGAGGGAGGGAAACTCATTCTTGAGGCAAATGGCTCCACACCACCTATCATACCAAAATCTGGTTCTATAGCCATCACCCACCTTGATTTGGCAGCTTTGTATAAAAAAGTTAAAGATAATGGCATTGTGGTTCCCGATGAGGAGAATGTCCCTCCACATCCTAGAGAGTTTGTACGAAGAAACCACAGGAGGAAGCCAACAATTAACCTCTATCTTGTATTTGCTACAAATAATTTTCCTCCACAATGCATTTGTTTGAGTGCCAAATTTCCACCACCATTTGAGAATCAAACAAGCATTAACATCCCTGAGTCTCCTGATGCCGAGGCCCCCTTGGGGAACGCTTTTTGTTACATCTAGCCATTTCACCAAATGAATTTTCCTTTTAAGCCCATTACCACCCCACAAAAAAACCGCTTCTAACTTCTCCACTTCGCGGGCTACACCATCAGGCATCTTAAAGAGAGAGAGGTAGTACACGGGTAGAGAAGAGAGGACAGATTTGATGAGGGTTAGTCTACCAGCAAAGGACAACATTTTCCTCATCCAACCTGAAAGTCTAACTCTGATAGTGTCTAGCACAGGTTTCCATGTAGATTTATTCCCTGGGTTGGAACCTAATGGCAGCCCCAGAAATTTCAGAGGCAATCTATGCACCTTGCAAAGTTCTGCAGTGACTCTTCAACCACACCCACTCCACACACCACACTTTTGAGGTAATTAATTCTGAGTCCAGATAGAACTTCAAAGCATCGAAGCACTCTTTTGATGACAACCACTTGATCCATATCTGCTGTACAGAAGATAATAGAGTCATCCGCAAACTGGAGATATGATACAAGGACCTCATTAACCCCAACCAAGACACCTTTAAGGAGACCAAGATTAATAGCTCTAGTGAGGAGGATATTGAGCCCTTCAGCCATTATGTTGAAGAGGAAGGGTGATAATGGGTCGCCTTGCCTAAGGCCTCTTTGCGGAGAGAACTCATTAGTTGGAGATCCATTCACAAGGACGGAAATATGGGCTGAAGACACACAGGTTTTTATCCAAGAGATCCACTTAGAACCAAAGCCAAAGCTAGCCATCATAGAAAACAAGAATTCCCCGTTGACGGAATCAAAGGCTTTCTCAAAGTCCAGCTTGATTATTAACCCTTGTTTCTTGGCCTTCTTCCATCCATCCACAACCTCGTTAGCGATAAATACCCCATCTAGGATATTCCTGCCTCCTATAAAAGCTGTCTAGGTCTCACCTATGATTATAGACATCACAGGCTTTAACCTCTGCACTAATACTTTTGCCAAAATTTTATAAAGAGAGCCCACCAAGCTAATGGGTCTATAATCAGACAGATTCATGGGACTATCAATCTTGGGAATGAGGGTAATGAAAGAGCTATTGATACCATAGGTAAGCTTGCTATGTTTATGAAAGTCACTAAAGAATTGCATGATCTCCAGTTTCATGACTTTCCAGAATTTTTGAAAGCACAAAAGGTTATACCCATCCGGACCCGGAGCTTTGTTGCCATTACAGTCTTTGATGGCTGCCCGAACTTCTTCTTCAGTGAAAATGGGTATCAAGCAGTGGGAGACAAGACTATCCTCAATTACGTTGAATACCCCACCCAAAGCAGGCCTGTTAATCCAATGTTCCTGGAAGTGGTTCTTGAAATAGATGAATACTTCATGCTTAATCCTGCCAGGCTCCTCATACAAAACACCATTTGCTAAGATTATATTAATCAAGTTTCTACTTTGGCGAGAGCTCGCAATAGCTTGAAAGAACCTAGTATTTTTATCCCCTTTAAGAGACCAATTCAGTCTGGACTGTTGATGCCATAGCCACTCCACCTTTCTGTATAGCTTCCAAACTTCACCTCTGACTTCTCTTCTTCTAACCTTTTCAGAGTGTAGCAATTCTCTTTCCTCCGCAATGATGTCAAGGTCATGCAATTCATCCTCTGAATCCTTAAGTTTGGATGAGACATTTCCAAACACTTCAATATTCCATTTCCTTAGTTCCAGCTTTAAGTGTTTTAGTTTTTGTTGCAGAATAAACCCAGCCCAACCAACAAAACTAGCATTTGCCCAGCTGGTAATAAATAGTTGAGTAAATTTGGGATGCAAGGTCCACGCATTGATAAATCTAAAGGGTTTGGGGCCCCAATCTCTTTCATCTTCCATCAATAAAAGGGGGCAATGATCTGATATATGTCTAGGTAGCCCCCAGAGTTTCAGTTTAAAATAAAGTAGTCATTCAGCGCTTAACAACACCCTATCAATTCTGCTCCAATTCTGGGAATTGCACCATGTATATTTCCTACCAAGAAGGGGAAGATCATTTAATTCAGCGGAGTCTATGAACTCATTGAGCTGTTTCATGCCTGTGTCTCTTCTGGAGCAGCCTACTCTCTCACCAATCTGTCTTATTTCATTGAAATCACCTCCCATGCACCAAGGGTTGGAGAAGTAGGTCTTAATATTAAGTAATGTGTTCCACAAATAGGATCTACTACTGGCATCATTTGGAGCATAAACATTAAGTAGAACACAATGAAAGGAATTATATAAGGTACCTGAAAGTAGAATGAACCTCCTGTTGCAGCAGCTACTAGATAATTGGAAGATATCTGGATCCCAAATACATAAAAGCCCACCTATAGTACCTTCTGGATCCACAGACAAGAACTCCATTTTCCTTTGGCCCCAAAGCCCTCTAGCTAGATTGTCAGATACCACAATCTTTTTTGTCTCTTGTAAGAAAACAATATCAATATGCCTCTCCTTTAGTAGTCTTTTAATTCTTCCCCTCTTCTCAGGCTTCCCAATCCCTCTGACATTCCAAGATAAGAGCTTCATAATTAAACAAAATTAACCTTCTATTTGACCCCAGCACACTGTTATTACTGTTGGGCCTTCCTATCCCTTATAAGTTTCTCTTTGTCCTTGAGTTCCAGGTCAATAATCTTATCTACCATACTATGTCCCCGGAAGTCAATTCCCAGTTCTTCCCCTACTTGGACAGTAGCCTGTGCTTCTTTGAGAAGAGAGTTATGCGAGTTTGATTCACCTTCCGAAAGCTCTGAACGTGCTAGGGCCACTGCTGCTGGCCTGAATATAATGGACTTAGAGGAGTGTTTACTGGAAGCTGCTAGGGCCACTGCTGCTGGCCTGAATATAATGGACTTAGAGGAGTGTTTACTGGAAGCTGCAGATGTGTGACCATACTGACGAGCAAAGCGAGAGAAACCTTCCATGAACACCTTCTTCTTCCCAGCTTTCTTGGCATACCTTTGGGGGTTAAGGATAGGATCTGGACAACGTACCTGAAAGTTCAAAGTGTTTAAACCAGGAGGATAAGGCCCAGGTGATAGAGGAATAAAACCTGGCTTGCTACCAAGAAGACCAATTGAAGAAGGAAAGGGGCCTTGGGCTAAAGTCACAGTATTAGTATTATTGTTTGGATGGCCCATGTACACCTCCAGATTAATTTCAGGATTTGGGCCTTGAGATATATGATCAACTTTTGGACAGCCCAAGTTGACTTCCAAGTTAATCCCAGGCCCACACTCGACTATGGACTTGCTTATATTATCTAGCAACCCAGATGGTGAATCTTGCTCATCACACCTCTGTGGCTGGTCATTGCACGTGGGGAAGGGTACACGCTCCACCATCATTGTTTGCTCTGACCCTACTACGGTAGGTCTGCTGCACTGTGAATCCTCAACCACCGTGCCTACCACCTTTGTACTGTTGCATGGTGAGTGATCCTTCCCGTGAATCGCATTCATGGAGGATAGAACCGCCGCACCGGAGCAGTGAAGCCTGATTGCCGCTGAATCATCTTCGTTTTTCCGTTTGCAGGCCCCATCCGAGAGAATATTTTCCGCAGCTCTACTTGAAGCCACGTTGGAGGTGGTATTGCAAACACCCAGCCCAAAGTTACTCCACTCTTGACAGTCCGTAGTGATAGCCGATTGATCTTCACAAACAAGAACTTGGTGTAATCTTCCCTTGCACTCCAGATTTATTGTTGTGTTGATAAGCTCCATTCTTGTTGTGGCTACTTTCACTCTGGAGTATAAGAATGTTTGTGGATGGCTTAGATCACCCTCCAAAGAGAGAACTGACCCCCACAGAGCACCAATTTTGTTTAGAGTGTCCCTATTCCAGAGATTCAGAGGGATACCAAAGCATTTCAGCCAAACACATCTCTCTTGCTTTATTTGAGCCCCTGACTTCCATTCCAAAATAAATTGGCTCCAGTCCTTAAACAGGTCCTTGATCTTCTGGATATTGGAGTGGAGCTCCTCTTGGGAATTGAAGGTCAGAATGACATCCCTACCACCTCCATGTCTGACCACAACTTGAGGTAACCCACTATCTTTCAAAGCAGATCTGATGCTGCTGAGGTAGTAATCCGAGTTGAACCTGATTATAACGCTTTCATAAAGCCATCCATGGCCATCCTCATTCACTTTGATAGTCATGGTTTTGCCCCTTTGTAGAACCTCTGCATAAGATTGATGGCTAGTGACTGGGGCTGAAACTGCACCTCTGTTCGGGTTAAGAGCGTCTGTGATGGCTTGGGGCCTTCTCCTGCTGGTCATGCTCCTATCATGCGTGGCATACTTAACTGCAAGGACCTTATCATCCACCAAAAGGCCATTCACTTTTTGGATTGCTATGTCAGATGCAACATGGCAGTTGAAGCGCACAAAACCGAATCTGGAATTTGTCACTTTCCTTCTCTTGACGGGGATGAATACGTCTTTAACTATACCAAACTTTTTGAAGAGTTTGAACAGTGAGTTCGCATCCACAGATCGTGGAATGTTGTCCACGAACACGGTGTACAACCCATCCCTTGCTTCGTAACCCCTAGATCCACCTCCTCGCCATTGATTCACCACCGGGATCCAGCCACCATTTCTTCCGGGCGCCATATCTGTGTGCTGGTTTATTGATGTTTTGCAAAGAAGACCTCTTTCGTACGCGTCTTTGCGCATCTTGTCTTCTACATCCGGCATGCGAGAAAAAGAACCCTAAACCCTCCAGAATTGAGTATCTCTAGTCACCAACAATGAATATTTCTAATTATGTTCTGTTTGCTTCAGTGGAAAATATTTTCTAATAAAAAAATTCAGAACTTTTTTTCTTAAAAAACATTTTCTTATATTTGATTGTCTTATTTTTCTTTGTATATCAGCAAAATTAAGGCATTTTATTGATAAGAATCAAGAAAAACCATTCCATCATACATCAATAAAAGTACAAGAGGCAAGTAGAAAAAACATGGAGTTGCTATAACATATTAGTGTCTTTGGTTGTGTCTTTGAAACCAACATATTAGTGGTTATATTAGTTGTGATGGGGTCGTAGGATGGGGGTGTTAGTGGTGTTGGTGGTAGCAGTGGCATGGTAGTGGTGGTGGTGGTGGTAGTGATAGGAAAGAGTTGGCGGGAGTGATGGTGGGGTGATGGTAATGATTGATTTGTGGGTCTGAACCTCTTAATTTTTTCTTCTTTTCTCTTTGGCTTGTGTTGGTTCCTCTCCAACCTTTGTGGTTGTGCTAGCTCATGATTGAGCCTTATGCACTTCTCTCCTTTATTGATGTAATATCATATGAAATATATGTTGTCGTCATCAATAAAATTTCTTTTTTGCTGATCAAAATAAAAAAGTAGTGGTGGTAGTGATATGATGATGACTGTGTTAGTCAATTTTCATTGTATTCGAAGAATAAATTAAAAAATGAGAGATTCTATTTAATTACTAAAATCAGAACATAATACAATAAAAAAAACAAAGCAAATTCTTACTTTTGTTATAAAAACAAAATAGTATCTGGAGGAAAATAAATAAACAACCTATTTACAGTATTACTTTCTTGGAAATTCAAGTTCTCAGAAATTCAATCAAGTCCAGTGGTTAATATTGTTTTCTTAAGACAGATTCGTCTTCTCTACGGTACTTTCAGAATATGGATGTCTATCTCTGAAGACAAAATGATTGACGACAATTAGTAGCAGTACTACAAACTAAATGTCTAGATAACACACTTTGTATTTATACTCTTTCTTACAGAAAATTTATGAGGAAAATACAAGAAGGAAAAGCAAAAGGAAGAACGAAAATTGAATTAAAAAACAAATGGAAGACTTGTCTATTTATAGGAGACTTGATGGTTATTCAGGACAGAGTTAAACAGGTAAAGAACCTATTCGAAACAGATTTGAACAAGTAAAGAACCTGTTCGGGTTGGATTTGAACGAGTAAAGAACCTGTTTGGGTTCGAGGGAAAGGTGCATTGGACTAAACTGCCAACATTCAGAAATGTTGGGGTCATTTCGGAATTTATTTTAAATTTCAAACCGAAATTCAAATTCCAAACGGTAAGAATTTAATTTTAGAAAAATAAACTTCAAATGTTTTTGGTCCAAAAAAAATAAGCATTTGACTACACAAGCCCAACCCAACCTCACACCTCATATCCACGCCCAAGCCCAGGCCTAGTCCGGTCTGGTCTAAGCAAGCGACGGCGCGCGCGTGCGTGTATGATAGTTTTTTGGTCGAATGGGTCAAGGGCCACTTTCTCCATAATCTCCCCTTCTATAAAACTTAGGTACCCTTTAGGGCCCTCCCCAAGATGCAAACTGAAGACTTACAAACACACACCAAGTTTGCCCATTCAAGCAATGTAAGACAAGCATTTTCTTCATTCCTTATGGAAGCCTCCTAAAACACCATTTCTATAGAGGCATTGATTTCTCATTCACTCGATAATGATTTTAAACAATCAAATATACGACGTAAATCGTTACGTGAAAAAGAACGCGTTACTACATAGACTCACTAACTTTGGCGCATGAGTCTCACTTAAAATATAGGCCAAAATTTTAGAAAAAACTGTTTTTCTCAAAACCATTTATTACAATCCCGTACATGAATGGAATTTGATGACAACAAAAATATAACAATATGCAGAATTTATTGAGAGAGTATAAATTAAAAATATCCTACATCAGGATAGGCAGCTTTCGGTCTTGAACCTTCCTTAGTAATAAACTATCAGACTTACTAGCTAACCAATGGACGCGATGCCTTGAATTATTCAGAAGTTAGTGTAAGCCAAGACAATAGATTTCACACAAAATATCTTCTGACACGTTGTGGTTGTTACAATTGTGTTCATTTTGGCCCTAAACGTTCCTAGTTATTCATGAGTGCTCTAAATAATTTAGCCTCTTTATTCTCATAGAACCAGCCCCAATTCGACACTCACATAAGTGATTCTTATGGAGAGTATCCCTTATACTCATCTTGACTTTTTATTCTTAAGTCAAGATATAAGTAATCATTAAAAGCAAAGCTGTAGCATTTGTGTCCTTTAAAACTTTTGGAAAGTATATTTGAATCATTATTATGTTTTGGAAAAACCTTTGGCGTTGTTATGGGTTGGTTTTGGAGGAGTATAATCCGAATTAATCTTGTTGGGTTTGGTTGTTTGTGTTTGTTCTAGTCTAAAGTTCCTTGGAAACTTATAAATTTTGCCTTGGGGTCGACACTAGCCTTCCTAAGGGCCGACCCTTGCATGTTGTAATGTTTCTGGAAATGTCACTGGAATATAGGGTCGACACCAGCCTTGGTGGTGTCGACACCTGCCTCTTGTTGCTGTCCACAAGGGTAGACACCAGTCTGGGAAATGGTCGACCCTCTTGTGTTGCAGAATCTGTGTATGTTGGTGGCTGGAAAATAGGGTCGACACCAGCCTTGGTGGTGTCGACACCTGCATGTTTATTATTTTATTGACCTTGGGGCTACTTCTCTATAACTATAAATAGGTCCCAAACATA